CACTCAACTCACCCGTCTTTCTTTTCAGGCTGCTTGAAGAACAAGATACCTATACGGAAAGTCAAATTGTTCGATTACATGGTGGACTACGAAAGTTGGCTGAAGCGTCCGTTCAATTGGAGGAGTTGAATGCGAAATTGGCCGTTCAACGGGTCGCAGTGGCCGAGAAAACACAGGCTTGTGAAACACTGCTGGCAGAAATTTCCAGCAGTAGTCAACTAGCCACAGAGAAGAAAGAACTGGCTGTGACTAAAGGAAAAGAAATTGAAATCCAGTCAAAAGAAATTGCAGTAGAGAAAGTGTGTCCTGTTGCTTTGTCAATCTGCCAGTCGGGGACAGAAATGCCACACATAACATACTGGTTCTGAAGTGTTCCCTCGCACGACAGACTATTCATAAGTTTAAATGCGCATCCAGCTTGTACTTTGCAGAGAAAGCGCAATGTTAAACGATGAAACTTATAGTAAAGTAGGCAATCAAAACAAAACCATTGTTACGCATTATGCATATGAGACTTCATGTTAGCTGAGACGTTTCATTAACTTTCAAGAAGGTAATTTTTACAATTCCCTCTAACTTATCTCTGCTAAGGAATCTGGTGATGACTGTAGTCTTAGCACTCAGCGAGATACTAGCTGTTGCGACTTACAAATTTCAGAGTTACCTAGGAGAAGAGTAACTTCTAAGATACAGTGCGATGTGAATGTTTTTATTTAAAACACGTTTAACCTCAACAAAATTGATAAATATAGGAATGATTTGGAAGGGGAGTACCGTTCACGCACGTGATGAGCGGCGAGAACCGTAGAATCGGTCGCGTACTTCCACGAAGTGGTATTCACTATTTCGTATGCTTCTTGTAATGCATCATATTTTTCTATGCCGTGTGAAGCCTAATTCCACTTTACTTTTTCCCGATTACAATTTGTACTTCTGTGTGTAATCTATTTCAGCGTGAAGCAGAATCCGCTCTGGCTGAAGCATTGCCCGCACTGGAACAAGCTCGTCTAGCGCTCGAAGATCTGGATAAATCAGATGTGACCGAAATTCGCTCGTTTGCCAAACCGCCAAAATCGGTACAGGTCACATCGGAATGCATATGTGTGTTTAAGGGTTATAAGGAAATCTCATGGAAAACCGCCAAGGGCATGATGGCTGACACCAATTTCTTGTATTCGTTGCAAACCATGGATGTAGACAATATCACAGCCAAACAATCGGCCATAGTGAAAGGTTAGTGCGGAATGGGATACGATCTTTTCAAGTTTTCCAAGCCAATATGCGCATATTGCGAACAGCTTTGTGAACTAAAGAATGGATAGACGGTAACGTTGTGTGGTGTTGGTGCTTTGTTATCGTATGATTATTCAACTGCTCTTTTCTCAGGTTCATTTATGACCACTTCTATTCTCATTTTTGTAAGGTTATCAGGCTGGCTCTACCTAAAGATTCGCTGATGGCGTCGGTCCGTCACCTGTATTTAAGTCATAGAGCTCATAATGTGAATAACATACTCTTGAAGGACAATTAGCCAGCTCCCTTGAACTTTCCCTGCTTCTAATACTATTGCTACTACTACTGCTAATAATAATAATAATAATAAAAATAAAAATAATGATAATAAGGTTCACGGTTCTAGTCCTGACAGGGACGCAAAAAACTACGCATTTCTAACGAGTCCCAAACACGACAAAAAGCTGGCCAGAGCTCTTTGTCGGTCTTCAAGTTTAAATAATAATACTACTAATCATAATCGTAATTACAGTGATATTAATAATAACAATAAATTCCCTTTCTGAGATGGATTTATAAAAGGGGGAAAAGCTGAAAAACAATGGTTGGTACATGCTTGTGTTGAGTACCACTCACTCGCTTCAGCTCGACTAAGAGATTGAATTTGAGGTGCCTTACTCTGACCGTTTACCGGAAATAGTATGATCCACAAGACACTGGAAGGTGATCCTAGTCTGGTTGGATTTTGCGCCTTTTGTTGTAGCTTTCGCTTCCAGAGTACCTAATACACCCTATTGCCCAAGCGATCTAGTGACCGTCTATCCAGAATCTTTGGTAGACAGAGCAGGATTTTTTCCAGTTTTACTACTTTCTATAAAGAAACCATAAGGATTCAATGTGAAAAATAGTGGAAAGGATAGCTGAAGTAAAATAAACGAACCATGCCAATCAAGTTCATTTTTGCATCGATCGATCACCTATCCTAACAGGATAAGAGGATCTGTCGTGAATTTTTGTATTGTTCACTAGTTGATCAAGTAGTCAATTTTTCATATACATCAATCCGACTGTTGCGCAGCACTTCAGTCAATCCTCATTTCTTATCTTCCAATCATTTGATAGAAGCGCTTAATTCACATCTCACGACGGTTAACGAAAAGAGTGATAAAATAGGCCGTTATGAATAAATGCGCTGTTTATTCGGCAACCCTAATTTAATTTATCGAATCGTTAAATCTGAGCTTCACTTCCCAACATTTAGCTAATTCTCTTCGTTCTGGTCACTGTGTGGCTACCGATCTTGAATGCGTTTAAAAGCGCCGATTTCGTTCAGTCTCACCTAAAGCTCACTCGATCAACGGTCAAGGACATAACGTTCCCTGGTGGGGTGAAGGGAACAACAGTGAAACCCCATACCGCCGGAACTTTCAACCTAGTTCGGTAACTCACTCGAAAAGTACTTTTGTTTGTCTACGGTGAAATCATTTCATTCTGATTGATGGGTTTTGATAGACACAGTCCAATGGTGACGTGTGACGGCTAAAGCACCAATCATTTTAGTAGGGTTCATAGTGGAATGCGACTGCTGGGATTCACTTGAAATCGCGGCAGTTTCACTTTACGTTTGAAAAAGCATAGTTGCATGCAGATTAGGGACAACAACAAAATTCGTTTTAGGTTTTCATCGTTTGAGTGCAATGCGTTGGACACTGAAAGTACAATGAACGAAGACACTGGCACAAAAACGCTTGTATTCCCCATTTATCAGGTTTGGCAACTGACCATTCCACAGATCGACGAGTAAGCGCAAACCGAGCTGTATGGATCCAACCAAAATGTTCCCTCAAAAATGGCCCAGTTCTTTTCACAGCATTTTCTGCAGTTTGCTCTTGACCTATGTGCACTCTTTTCAAAATTGGAAACATCCCATCCGTGTTGAGTTCTCATGGAATATTCCCACTTTCTTACTTCGATGTGTTGTACCGCGATGTAATTTGTTTTCGTACAGAACGTTTTCGATTTCACTGGTGCTCAATACATTACTGGCATCATGTGACAGTGCTGTTTATTTTTCATTTCTCTTCTTGTTTCGATCTGCTCAATAGACTACTTGGAAAAATCAAAAGTGACCGTGGAAGAAATGCGCAGTGTGAGCAAGGCGGGAACCGGTCTGCTCAAATTTGTGATAGCAGTGTTAGGCTATTCCGAAGTGGCTCGAGATATTAAACCGAAACGGGACAAAGTTGCTCGGTTGGAGAAAAATTTCATGCTAGTAAGTAAACATTTGTTTTGAACGATCGATACCAGAAGTTTGAAATGACTGGACAGTTTATATATATATATATATATATATATATATATTAGATTCACACAGTTAACTCGTTCTAAACGGAATAAGTCACGTGAAGGAATGCTTACAATTTGAACGCATTATTGTTCATCATAGATTTATTGGGCGCTTCAGTGATTCTATACGTTTTGCAATTCAAGTTGTCCCAATATCATTTCAAGCTGTCCTCGGATCATTTCAAACTGTCGTGTTGACAGGTGATATTGGGCATCCCAGCGATATCTGGATGACCACCATGCAGCACCGATATCTCTACCTCCCGTTGAAGTTGATCGCTCGTTGAAAAGAAACGATCTACAGTTAAAACTATTTTATGGGCCTCGTTGGTTCCCAACGGTCGGAGTATACGTTCGGTCACTAGTCTCAGTCTCTATAGTAGTATACACGATCTAGATTTTCATAAGTCATTGGAGTTTTAACTCTGAGCTGCTTAATCTCTAATCAGGCATAGGGAAGGAGGGTTAGCTGAACACAGTATCCAAAAGTAAGTCGAACGAACGCCCTGAAGAACCCTGTACTGCTTCTTGTTTCACGCGGCCAAAGACCTTCCGGATCATCAGAAACATTTCCACAATCTTGGCAGACCCGTACTATCACTTTTACTGACCCGTAAATCTTTGAAAGATGTGGGTCATGAGATGAATATTTTGTAAGAGTGAGGGTTCTCACTGTGGTGAGGTAATATTTGATAACTGGATTCTATGAACCATTCATCATTACCGAGCACTTCTGGCTATTTGCGGGCAGTGTTAGAGCTTATTTAATCTTTTCTCTGGTTGCCTGCATGCTTATCCAAGACATCGACGTAGGTCCGATAATCTTCTCTCCTTTGTACTCCAGGTTTTTATCGGACATCACTCGGCTGAACTTAAATCCTTCGCTTTTACTCAAAGTTGATCACATCTTCGGGTTACTTTATGATACTCGGATGGACCTGCTTCATAAAACGTTAAGCCGAAAATGGCTCTCTCCTTTTCAGATCCGTGAGCCTAGGAAAGATCACGTTAGGGGCATAGACTGTTTCATCCTTTGTTTAACAATGTGTGATATTCATCAACTGATACTGTACCTCCATCGTTTCCCTTGGGTTGACTACAAGAACCCTAAAATACTGCGTTGTGGTTCAGCTATAATAACCGAAAGGTGTTCTGATCTCCTAAAACTTACTAACGTATTGAACATTTTCACAATCTCTGATTGGTGGTGGTAATCACTATTCTAAGAACGACCACGGCGGTGTTCCCATCGTGAACCTAAATCGAGAAATGCGGCAATGGCAATTCGAATGTTTGAAGATAGTTTTTACTTACAACTTGTGAATGTCATTCGTTAACCATAATTCACCCGGTTTACTTTGTGTGGTGGAAGTGTTTAAGTGAGACTATATGATTTTGGCAATAAAGATTATCAAATTCAGAGCCCATACTCAGAAAAGTGCATTTCGAAAACATTCCAATTTTTGAAAATGTATTTTCTTATAAAATTACGTAACTCTTATGAATATTATGGCATCTTTCGACAGCCCTCATTACGTTATTTCTATCGGAGTTGATTTGATAGACATATCTTATTCCGTTCCGAAAATATGGCCAAAATGGATGTGAATCTGGTCAACAGCGATGTGTATATCGATCTAGCATGATCGATTGGTGCCCCAGTGAAGCCGCTTGAGGTGTATCTTATGAATTCTATTGCAGCATAATCCGATGGAGGTAAGCAATGGCTCAAGCGTTGATCGCGCATGATTCACTGGTATCAGCGGAGAGGGACGAACACACAAACACACATGCACAGAGACGCGTCCACATACTAGCAAGATAAACAACCAATATGGTATGCCATGGGAATTGAAGCGTGTATGACCGAGGCACGTCTCACAATCGTATCCTCCGCGCTCAGACGAGAGGTCGAGAAATATGTGCTGCATGGTGGTTATCCAAACATCGCTGGGAGGCTTGTCAGCATCGGTGAGGTCAAAGCTTGAAATGAACTGAGGACATCTTGAAATGATACTAGGACAACTTGAGATAATCACTAGACATAAATGTCTTTTTTACTTCCTTTTCTATTTATTGAATAAACAAATGTACAGTCAACTTTCAGGAATGGGGCTACGGCCGTACAAAGGCTGCCTGGGGAAAATACAGATGTATGGAAGACGGGCGTCGGTGGACATCCAGGTCACTAGTTAGTGACCTAACCACTTGGCCACTACCGCCCAAAATAATGAAGTGATGATCAGGCAACTTGAAAAGATTCCCGGTCGTCTTGAAATGACTCTTGGGAAAACTTGAATTGCAAAAGGTATAAACACCAAATGGCGTATTCAAAGCTGCTTGCCGACGTTAATAACTGTTGAAACTCTGACAGAGGATATATAACTAGAAAAGGTACGCAGGTTTATTCTAAGATGAACAGAATTTATGAAAAAGATGACCACTGTGATGTAAACCTGCGAATCAAAATCTGTCATACTCCAAACATGGTCAGAGTTATTTATCACTTCGCAACATTGATAGTCTTCACGAGGGCCATTCATGTTTTGCGACATGATACTCCGGATCGTTTATGGCTTTCATATGCTAATCAAAGAGAAGCGCGGGTATTTTTTATGTGCGAGGGGAAGAGATATTTCATCGTTTGTCACTGGTGTGGTCAAATTGAACTGTTTCTATTAAATGGAGCCCGAAATCTCAATTTCAATAGGATTTAGTATCGGGGAACGCGGTTTAAGCATAACAAAGTTGGTTCTGGTTCTGGAATTACTCGGTCTGAATTTGTGTGACATGGGGCATTATCGCACACGATCATCGGATTAAAGATGTCGATAAAATGAAGCTGACGAAGAAGCCCTGTCTCATGTGTGCAGGAGCTTTTATCATTCCGAGGCTTAGGAGAACAGCGTGGGATACACCACCAATGACATGAATTGGCAACAAGGCTACCCGGCGTAATCTTTCGCACTCTCATGCCTGGGGTTGCATCATGAAATGTATGGCAAAAACAGATTATAGATTATTTTGTCAATCCGAATAGCGCTTCGGATCCGGTTTCCAACTGTAACAACTTTAGCACATTCTGCTCCCGACGCCTCTTGTTCTCGGAGAAATTCAGGNTTCAGGGTTTCTGTGATCCAGTGCAGCTTTTTCGTCACATGTAGACAGGTATTTTCAAAGAGTTCGTGATTGTGGTTATATGGATAAATGTAATGTACTGCGCACCCAATTGCATTTTTGAATCGCGTAGTGTCAATGTTCCTTTTCTATCCACGAGACTATGTTGTCCACGTAGGCCTCGAACAGTGCCCGTTTTCGCGCGAAATTTCTTCTCGGTAGTTCCAGCCGGTTTTCCCAATACGTTTGCCAGTCGTTCAGTGGGCTGATGTTCACCCCCGGTGGTCGAATATATTGCAATGTGGCTTACGACGCATCAAGGCAATGCAGGTACATGACTGAGATAGCTCTGAGATGTATAATATGAAGCTCTCTGTTGGAATGGTCAATTGATGTCCATTGACCAACACCGGGTGAAGTAAGTGCACAATGACTTGGCGCATCACGAGTACTGTACACCAAGAGCGACGCGACCGCATCTAGGATGGCAGATAACTGCCACGTCCAAATCGCGCTTGGCGCTGGTGCGTGTTCATAGTTTGTGTACATAGATTAAACGTGGATCATCGATTACCACAGTATCAGGCATGCAGTCGCCAACGCGGGACCAGAGAGGAGGAGAAATAGTTTCTCACTTCAATAAAACTTATTCGCCGATTTCCGCATGCAACTGCAACAGACAAGCCATCGGAGAGTCACCTGAGTTGCGACCACATTGCAGGGGCTCACACAAACATACGTACGCACTCATGGGCAACAATGGGATCATGTGATTTTTTACGGAGATGGGAACAAACGTATATACACACAATCACGTACGCGTATTGGCAAGGGGAACGACCAAGAAGCGCTTTAGGTTTTGGGGGATGTGTGGTCGAGGCAAGTAGCGAAACTGTCTCCCTCCGCGGTTCAACAAACAGCTGAGAAATCTGTGCTCCACGGTATTCATCCAGACTTCGTTTGAAGGCACGAACAGTAAATGGGCCTGAGGGCGCCGATGAGGTCAACAAGACAGCTTGAAATGATGATGCGGCAACTTTCATGATGCCCAAACATATTCGAATAGTACTCAAATAACTGGAATGGGGAAAGGTATGGGGAGACTCGTGTGAACATGGGCGGCATGAAAAGGTCTCTTGGTGTACTCTCTGGCACTCATATAACTTCTCCTTCTGACAATTAAAAAGCAGAAGATTCAGATTGCGAAATTAACCAGAGTCCAAAATATCATTAAAAAATGTAGCACCGCTTTGAGTGCACACTATGTACTGACTACTACAAGCTTCTACCAATAGTTTTGATCTGCTTGCAGTGATCACGTTTACATCTTTGGAGATTGTTTGGCTTATAACAGCACGCCCTGCAAAAAATATTCACAACACGAGTTAATGTGGTTGAATAGCAATCTGTATGCGATGTGCGATGTTTAAAGACAGGCTTGTTCGATCAGCGCTCAAGGAGGTGAAGCCACCTAGATTATAG